GCTTTTTATCATATGAAGGGATATATAGGGATATACTAAAAAATTCTTTTAAATACTAAAATAAAAATTTTAATTTAGAATTTCTGATCCTATTCGAGAAATTAGGAAATACAAGTGCTTTGGAGTTCAATGATATTGAAATGATGAATAAAAATTTCCCTGATTTTGATTCGGCTTTTGATGCGTATTTTACAGAACTTAGTTTAAAAAATTCAATTAACATTGATGATGAAGAGCCACACGATCTGTAAATTTTTAAATTTTAACCCGAGATTGGATTAGAAAAAAATCAAAAAATTCCTAATACTATTTACTGACTATTTCGTAAATTTAAACAAAGTGTTTACAGGAGGGAATTTAAATTGGTAGCGGATCGACCTGTAAATACAATCATGTCGCAACATTTGGGGATCAAACTTCTGGGGACCCGACATTTGGGGACCCGAAATTGGGGTCCGGGAACTAGCTCCGGAGCCGGCTCCGGCGGAGCCGGAGCCGGAGCTAAGATTTTGGAAACCCCGGAGCCGGAACTGGAGCCGGAGCCAAGAATTTGAAGTGTCCGGAGCCGGAGCCAAGGTTTTCTAATTCCCCACGGCTCCGGCTATACACCCCTAAAGATGGGTTGGAGAAAAAGAAGTAAGCAAAGATGGTAGGCGTGAAAAGGAAAGGAAGAGAAAATTGAGACGGGTAAAAAAGATTTCCTTTCATTTCCTTTGTAATGTTGGTGTGGTTAAGTCAGGGTTTCGATATCTGCGGATTTTTCCTCATTTTGTGGTTTTTTGATAGGGCGATGAGGATTATTTTTAAAAATGCGGATTTGCGGATTTTTGTGGTCTTTTGAAGATTATGAGGATTTTTTATATTTTCTTGTGGTTTTTAGTAAAAATGTCATTATTGTGGTTTTTAGTAAAAAGTCTTGTGGTTTTTAGTAAAAATGCCTTCTGAAGTCCTCAAAATTTTCGCCTGCGGCGCTGAAAATGGAAGAAATCTGGCTTCTTGGCCTTCCAAAATTCTCAAAATGTTCGTCTGCGGCGCAAAAAAGGAAGGAATCTGTGTCCTTGATCTTCCAAAATCCTCAAAATTTTTTTCCTGGCCTAAAAATGAACGATTTTTGGCTTAAGGATCTTCCGAAATTAAAAAAATTTTCGCCTGCGGCGCTTAAAATGGAAGAAATAAAAATTTGCGACATCTTCCGCGACAAAAATGCAAGTATGATTTTTCAGATAGTTGCTGGATTTTCATAAAATGATCATTAGTAATAAAAAAATTGCTTAATTCAATTGTAGAAGACGAAAAATACCATGCATAAAGTGATTTTGATTAAATTTTTGGGTTTAATAATTTTTTGCGGATTTTTGATATAAAATGCGGATTTTTTCGATCAATTTTGCGGATTTTTAAAAATTCGAGATCGAAACCCTGGGTTAAGTGGATAGTCAGTTAGGTCCGAGTTTTATCCAATTATAGGTTCGAAAAATATCACAACAAATAATTAAATAATTGTTTTTATTTGGAAAATAAATTATAATAAGATGTTTTTCATTAAATAAAGCTGGATAAATTTTTTAAATTGATTAATTTTAGTCTTTTTTTTTCAAAACCCCCTTTATCTCCCAAATCCCCCCAATGAAAAATAATTCATTGATTTTCCACCCGGAGCCCGGAGCCAACATGGAGCGGCTCCGAAAATCCCCGGCTCCGGAGCCGGAGCCGGGGATTTTGAAAGCCCTTAGCCGGAGCCAAGAATTTGAAAGCCCGGAGCCGGAGCCAACAAATGGCAAATACCCAGCACTGATGGTAAATGTATACCGGTTTGACAAACATGTACCGACTTATAGGGCTCAATTAGTCAAAAATCGTAGGAGGTTTTATATTTTTCGTTCAAAAACTCCAATTAGCTATTTTTTAAAAGTGCACCCAAAATTCGGGCCAATTAAAAAATTTTTTTCAATTCTATTTTGTCCTCAAATGTCGGATCTCCAATTGTCTGGTCCACAAAAGTCTGATCCTCATAAGTCAGGTAGCCGGTATAATACTTTAAATTATTTTATATTTAGTTGTATGTTGCATGAACTTTTGGTACACACCAATTTTAATAGAGTCCGTGCAGAAGCATATGCCATATCGCTCCGTGATCACTTGATAGATATTGTAATCATTTCACTAAAAATTTTACTCAAAATTTAAATTAAAATTTTTAGGGGTACATTGCCGCCATCTGCAGCAACCTTACATTCCATGGCAATGAAAAACAAATGACAAAATATACTACTCAAATTGCAGATGAAATTAATTTAATTGCAATTCATACGTTTAATTATTTGTGCAGTTCCTTAGTAAATAATATATTAATTTTGGGGTAGGGGTGTACCGGCCGTTTGTATACCTGGTCATATTTTGGGCTATAACTTTTTCGATTCTTAATTGATTTAAATAATTCATATATCAATAGAAAGCACTGGATGTGAGGATTATTTTTGCCTACAGGAGTGATTTGATCAGATCATCATAAAAAAAGTTACAGGCAGATAAATGCTTGCAGTCATGATTTTGATTTTTATCTGGCTGTAACTTTTTTTATGATGATCTGATCAAATCACTCCTGTTGGCAAAAATAATCCTAACATTCAGAGATTTCGATTGACAATAAATTATTTAGATCAATTAAGAATCGAAAAAGTTTTAGCCCAAAATATGGCCAGGTACAGGTACACAAGTGGGACGTACCGTAATTTTTATGTTCAATTTTTAAACCCAATATTTTTAGGCAAATGCCTGGCCTAATGTTTTCCATCAAATAATTGAAGAAAAATTCAAAAGTCTTGAAATAACGTCTCCGAGTGCTAGATTACTTGGAATGCTAATTGATTCTGCTCTTCAAGTCATTGGCGAAACTGGAGAGAAAAAGTAAGTCTGAATTCAAGATTCGACCGACATTCTGTCGAACATTCTGTCGAAAAAAAACATTCGGTCGAATCAACAATTTCCTTTGCGTTTGGAACCGATGATGGGCAAATAAAAATTTTTTTTATTTGAATCGCGAAATAAAAAATTTTCTATTTAGTTTCAGAGCGAAACGAAATGAACTTGTTTCGGACGAAACGAAATAAAAAAATTAAAAATATCGATCTTTTATCTCATAAAACTTAAGAATCATTATTGTAATGATAACTGAGCAGTAGAGAGCCAATATCACCTTAATCCCTTTCCAAATCCTCCGATTTCAAAAAATTGACTGGTATTTGGGGATTACAAGGGTATAGTGTGTTTTGCTAAAATTTGGGGATTACAAGGGATATAGTGTGTTTTCTAAATATATAAGATATCACCACGCTTCCTAATGTCCCAGTCCATCTAAACAACGTACCGCCTTTCTAGAATTGAATTAGTTTTTAATATTAGAAAACCCATATTAAAAATCATATTTAGTTACCAATATCAAATCATGATAGCTAAAATTGGCGGGCAGGAACAATTCTATGAAGGATTACTGAATTATTGTTCTCACAAAACTGGCGTTTATGGCCATAATGTTATCATCAATCGAATTAAATTAAACTTATCTGATTTTGAATCCATAGGTAAAATTAAATTTAAAATAATCAGAATTTAATTTATTAGTTGACAAAAATTTTCTTTCTTTTTTATAGAAATACCGTATTATCTTGAGGGAGGAAATTTTAAGAAGGGTAATTGTTATTCCAAGCTTGTTACTTTTAAGGAAATAAGGTATTTAGTAAAATGTGTTTGAAATAATCTTTAGAATTTTGTTAAATATGAGGGGGCCAAAAATATTTCAAAACAAAATTATATTTTAATTTTACAAAATATTTACGGTTTATGACCTAATAATTTATAAAATATTCTCTAGAATTGCAAGATGGGAAAATGCTGAAACTAAGAAATTTTGCCCTGAAACTAAATAGCACACTTAAGACTGAGATGGAGTAAGTTTACTCTTTTTACATAAACAAATTTTTCATTTATTAAAATGAAAAAGGTTACTATCGCATTATACCGCCAAATCTCTGCAACTGTTTGTCCGCAGATTTTACCTACTCACAACCTCTCTTTTGTCATAAAAATTAAAAGAACTGTAAATGACTAATAACAAGTATTCCTTTTCTCTTTTCTCAAAGAGTTATTAGGATAAAAGGCCCACGCGTAGATAAAACTAACAGTAGCCATGCCCACGCGTAGCCCACGCGTAGATAAAGATAAGAGGCCCTTCTATAAATTAGTAAAAATTGGTCAGCCGTTAAAAAATTCGTCGAGATGTGAAAATGACACCAAAATCAACCCCGGTCTTAACAATGGGCCGAGATACAGATCACTAAAATTGAAAAACAAAAGGGGGGACCTCGGTCTGCGGAAGATTAAAAATATTCATTGATCTGAAAAAATCTAGAAAAAATAAAATAAAAATGACCTTTCCTCAAAATGAAATTAATCCATTATCATTATTAATCATGTACAATTCTTTTAATCTTTATGACAAGAGAGAATAGGAGAAGAAGGAAAAACCTGCGGACAAACATTTGCGGACATGCGGCGTTATATATCTAAGGCGAAATTTTCGGACGATAATAGTTACTAACAACCGAGATATGATTTATAATTTGTTTAACCTAAGAATTGAAACTATCAAGCATAATCATGACTAAACCGGCACAAAAACAAACACTCGATAACAAACCTTCTCACCTCTGACCTTTATTGTCGAAAAAGGAATTTTTTACAACCACAGGGAACAGAAAGAACAATATATACAAATTTCAAAATTAAGGAGAAGTATTATTTGACCCATGTTTAGACCATGTTAGACATTGGTAGAGCACCTGCATAGGGGTAAACTGTGTTAAGTGGGCACTTCAGAAAAGTCAGTTTCGAAGACAGCCCTTAGCTAAAGTTTTGCAAAAGCTGATATTATCTTTCTAATCTTTATCTAAAAAAATTTTAGTGATATTTACAACAAAGAAACGAGTTACATTGTCGGGCAACTTAAAAAGAAGTTACCAATATTCATCTCGGATAGATTGTTTAAATGCTGGACGATGTTACGTTTATATGGGGATCATTGGTGGTCATCATGTGGAAATTTAACCTATGCAAAGCGAAGCTATGGTTATGCAGAGTTGTCAGGAATTGCATCATTAAGATATGAGACTAAGGGCGGTAGATTTGGACTTTGTGAAAAATTTTTGTTCAACTTTTTCATGTGATTGATGAAAGATGTGAGATTCAAGAACAAACGAAAAAATAATTTTTCATTTAAATCGGTCTAAATTGGCTTTAATTTATTTGAAATATTAAAAAATAAAGCGAGTATCAATAATAACAAGTTTTGCATAAGAGTTAAAAAATTAGCGAAATGAAAAAAAAATTAGCGAAATGAAAGGATATCTACTAAAATTGGTTAGGTTTAGTTTAAAATATATTACAAAATGAATTACTGAATAAAGTTGACCCAAAAGAGATGGGAGCATTTATTATATAACTTTATTCAAATAAAAGATAATGAGATGATATAAAGCTTAAATAATAAAGAACTAAATAAGGAAGAAAAATGAGCAAAAATTTTGTAATTACCCACCTCCTACTGAGATTTCCTTCAAACCCACTTTTCTCTTGTTTCCGATGTCAAATAATTTTCCCTGCTCGAAAAATTCAAGTTGGGATACCGCTAAAAACTCATCAATTGTTTTACAAATTCGCCTTACCAGTTTGAGGTATCCATTGGAATGGGACGCCTTCAGCTTTCCGTTTGCCGCAGAGATCCTAGTTTCTTTTTTGGTCTCCATTCGGATTGATACTTTAGACTGGTAAGGCGAGTTCGCTAAACACTTGATGGCTTTTTAGAGGCATCTCAACTTGATTTTTGATTAAGGGAAAATTATCTGACATGTGAAACAAGAGAAAAGTGGCTCTGAAAGAAAATATGAAGTTACCTTCAACAGCTCGCTCATGGTCTGACGTCGATGCTTATGGCCTGACGTCTATCTATTTAAAATTACCTTTTTAATATTTATTTATCTGCTCTAACTAAATTTAATTTGGAAGAAGAATTCAAAGCTTTGGAAAAAAATTCCCTTAATATAAAATATTTTATTTCCAACTTAATATAAGCTAAAAATTATTCAAAAAATTCCTAAATTTTTTTTATAAAATTCTTAAAAAATTTACAGAGGAAAAAAACTTCAAGCCTAGACGTCACGTTTTATTCAAAATTTAAATAGCTGGTATAATTAAAGATTTCTTTCCTTATAAAAATGAGGGTGTTAATTGCAAGAATTAATTTATTTTAAATACTAAAGAATTAAATAAAAGAGCCAAAATGACAACTAAAAATGCCATTTTCCTTATTTTTGCTATAAGCTTATTGCTAAATCAATGTTTGGCAATGTCGTCTTGTAAAGATACTCTTAAAACGAGCTGCACTAAATTAATGAAGTGTAAATCGGAGTAGGCTTTATTCTCCGTTTTTAAATTTTAATTTGACTAATTTACAGTGATGCAAAATGTATTTTAGCCGCTTGCGACTGTATTGGAATGGTAAAGGATTAGCATAAAATCATTTAAAAACCTCACGATTAGAACCCTTCGAATTAGTTACTAGGGATGTTCCCCGTCCCTGAAAGTCGGGAAAGTTGAGCATTCATAGTTTCATTCATAGCCCCGTGTCACTGCCTCCCCTAAAAGTTATCCCCGTGTCCCTCCTCACCTCCCTCCGTCGGGGCACAACCCTCCCCTTCGAATTAGTCACACTTCTATTTTAGATATATTTTTTAGTTTTCTAGGAAAGTGAGCTGTCTCATAAGTTGTCGGATAGTTGGAAAATTTCGGATATCCGTATCCTAAATCCGAACCGAAAATTTCAGATATCCAGATATCCGAAATTTTTGATATCCTGATCTGGATCCGATATCCGGATCCGAAATTTTGTATATCCGAACCGAAATTTACAACCTTACTATCTAAAAAATGCTTCCATTTTAGGGTATAGGAATTTCACTATTATGACACCCCCAGGGTCTAGTTGAGTGATTGATGTACATACATATAATAGAAATTATCGATAACTAGATTATACGTTACTAATTTTTCGAGCCTCAATGGTCTATTGAGGTGATGAGTGAAGTGAGGTAATTAGAGAGGTGATTATTAGTGAGGCTATAGTAATTATTATTAATGATTTTCATATACATAGGTATAACAAATAAATTTTTTAGGGTGGCCCACAAGGCACGGGATACGACCCTCTTTATGACCGAAACTTTTGCACACATCATAGAGGACATTATTATAATAAGAATTGTAAAAAACAAATTAAAGGAGGTGGAAAATGAGAAGACAAGGAATTAAAAATTAAAAGAGGGTACATGAATTAAATTGGGATAATATTTTTAAAGGATTTTTTCTGATATTTTTAAATAATTGTATCAATCTTGATCCTGACTAAATAAAGCAATAAATAATAAAATTTTCAAATAAAAAATCTTAATGGAAGGAGTGGGGAAATGGAAGTGTTAAGTGGTCAACCTATTGAGGGAATGGTATGGGGAGGGGTTCGAGATCAATTATCCTGTATCTAAATGAGGATTTGGGCGATGACGAGCGAGGTGGGTGGGGGCCTACTCTGATTCCGCCTACTCTGATTTTTTTACACTTCCGCTTCCGTTTATATTTCTTCTCCTTTAAAGAATTCCAAAGGAGCTATCTCTGATACATACCTATAATAATGAAAATGTATAGCGGCGATATCTCTTTTTAACATAAATCCGGAGGTATTTTAGGGGCTTTACGGTAATTTAAATAAAATAGTAGTAGTATGTATAATGTTAGCCTTCATATTCTAAATTAATAATAATATAAATTATACGTAAAAAATATTATTTTTTGTTGATTCATAAATTTAAAATTTTCCCACAACTAAATATTTAATTAAAAATTATTAAAATGTTCCTATGATTATTCTAAAAATAATTTTTTATTAGCCAAAACTAACCAAAATTATATAAATTTTATTGGGAAATTGTACGATTTTAATATAAAAAATTAATTTAGAATCCATTTTAAATGAATATTCATCAAACTTAATTTAAGCCAAAAAGGGGTATATAAATAAATAAAATTTGGCTGGTAATTAAATTAGTGTAATTAGCCTAATTTTATTAAATTTAATTTTATTTAAATATTAAATACTCAAAAAATATTTTATTTATTCTCCAAATTAATAATCAGTTATCCAAGCCACCTCCCCAATACAACCTTGATTGGTGACTTGAAGCTCCATGTATGGAAAAAGTTATTCCGATCGTAATGAGCTTCAATGGAACGGTCTGATGATCTTTATGAAACAACTTCGGCCATGAAAAAATTCTTATCATTGACAATAATATTCAAATATTAATCGGAATATTATTCTGCTACCCAAGCCAACTCATCAATCCAAATTTTGATTGGGAGCTTCATGGGGTGCCTGTGGAATGGATGCATGGTTCTCGTTCATACAATAATTTCAACAATGGAGCAATGCTTCCACTAGTATTCAACGATCGCTGGATTAGTAAGAAAGAAAATTTGAGTGTTTAAGCTAATAAAATTGAATTTAGAGATGAATTTTCTCATCGCTCTCATATGGATCGCCATCAGCACTACCATGAACTCGATCAAGGCATCTGAACCAATCGTTTCTCCAATCAAGGACCTTACATGCAACAATGTAAAAGAGCATGCCAAAATGCAATGGGTACATGATTTAAATATTAATTCATTCGAATCTCTCTAACATGACACCTTCTGACATGTCACTTTCCTTCGTATGTCAGTTCAGTCCAGACCCGAGGGGTGTTAGTTTAAGAAAATAGCATCTAAAAATTTATATCCAAAATTTTTTTGAAGATTTATAATATGCTACGAAAGTCACCTTACAATACAGTGCTCAAGGGAACAGAATTCAAAGTTTCTAGACTTTACGATATCCGAGCGGTGTTGGGAAATCGTTTTTGCAACCAAAAAGATGCAGAAGAAGTTCAGTGGAACGGAATTGCAATCTTCTTCAATGGTGATAATAATATAACTGAAGTTATAATGCATATAGCTGGATCAGGGTTGCCGCCCGAAACCCGTACCCGAAGATTTTTTGTACCCGCGGCAACCCTGAGCTGGACTATAGTAAGCTTTAGAAAAATAGACCCTCGGAAGTCACTCCAATAGAATTTTTAAATGCCCTCAGCCCTCGATACTCCGTAATTTAACTGTCAAATTTTATATTTAGAAAGTATCCTTATTTTAGAAAAGATACGAGGCAAGCTTGGCGTTTCCTCAGTTTGGAACTCCTTAAGTAAGGAGGGAATTCGTCTTGAGGAAGTTCTGGGATTTGCGTCACTGGAAAAGGATCTGAGCTTCTACGTCACTTGGCAGGATGGCCGTAATGCCTGTATATATGTACAAAGAGGATTTTAAGCGGATATTTCTACTTGGCCAACACCACTGTCGAACAGCTTCTCAAAGGTCTCCTCGTCAAGGCTTCACCAGAGCAGGGTACTAGCAATTAAACATGAAAAAATATTTTTTAATAAAATAGCCATGATCCGGGACAAGTTTAGCTGGACCGAATTCTGGAGCATTTTCCAGAAGGAAAGGAATGCTTCTTGACGAGACAATGGGATATCCGGCGTTGGATCTTGACATGAGTAAATTGCATTTACACTCCAATTTAATAATTTCTAATAAAATTTTAAAAATTTTATTGAAAATTTTTTCAATAAAAAATTTTTTAATCCTGAAAAGATGTAAAAATGGATTTAATTTAAAAACTAAATTATATTAATCTATTTAAAATCTAATATTTATAGTAAACAACCACGACTACAACTACGACAACGACCACAAAAACTACGACCACGACTATGGTATGCCTTAAACTTTAAAAAAATTCTGGAAGAATTATGGAAGAATTTATTCTGGAAGAATTATGGAAAGGCCAAAATTGCTAAGGCAAGGCGTTTTTTTAAATTAAAAAAATTTTTTGGAGCTTTTCTCCTCCTAATTTAATAATTCTTAATAAAATTGAAAAAAAATTTTATTGAAAACTTTTTAATAAAATCTTTTTTAATACATACTGAAAAGACGTAAAAATGGATAATTTAAAAAAAATAAAATATGTATATTAATACTTTTAAAAATTAATTTTTATAGAAAACAACCACGACGACAACCA